ATGGCTGTGGCGGAGTGCCGTGGAATGCTGCTTAGCAACTCTGCTCATCACTCTTTGCACATCGGTAGTCGGCCTCTCCTGGTCAGTTCCCCTTTGAAGCAGCCTCAGTACTCACTAGAAGACAGAGACGTTCAGGAAGTACAGTGAACTCATTCCTGCCCTGTCCACAACATGTCTAGATTAGGTGGTCATATCCCTTCTTTATCCTCAGTGGGCCAATCCGAGCCTACATCCTTGCCCACAAAGATGCCATCCAGCTTTGGAGGACACTGATGGGGCCCACCAGAGTATTTCGAGCACGCCACATGGCCCCAGATTCAATTCGTGGGAGTTTGGGCCTCACTGACACCCGAAACACTACCCATGGCTCAGGTGAGTCTCAACCTCTCATCCACAGCCACACGAGGAAGGATGTCTTGGGGCAGACGAGTAAGCCATGTGAGGAGACTGACAGCGGTGGTCCCTCCATTGAGCTTGTTTCCATATATTTCTGCCCTGTATAGCCGTCTCAGCCGTGTGGCCTGTACTGAGTGGATCAGTACATTCGCTGTGATAACCCTTCTCTCTCATTTGGGTTTTTCCTTGTTGGGTTTTGTTGTTGTTGTTGTTGTTGTTTTTGTTTTTGTTTGTTTTTTTGTTTTGTTTTGTTTTGGAGACATGGTCTTGCATTGTTTCCTAAGCTGGTCCCAATCTTGCAATCCTCCTGCCTTAACCTCCTAAGTAGCTCTTCTCTCCCTCTCCTCTCCTCATAGACTCTGTGGCTTCCGCCAGCAGAGAGATCGCAGCTTTCTTCCCTGACTTCAGTGAACAGCGCTGGTATGAAGAGGAGGAGCCCCAGCTGCGCTGTGGTCCTGTGTGGTACAGTCCAGAGGAAGGGATTCACTGTGCACTGGAACTGGAGGCCCGGGACCAGCCTAGTAAAGTCCTGTCGGTCCCTGAGGGGAATCGTGGGCTGAAGGCACGGTCTCTCTTGGACCCCATCACCTTTCCAAAGACCTAGCATATCACTGCTCAGCTGCTGCAATCTAGTTCTCGCTACCTCTTCTATGGAACATTCATGGGTATTTGGGAAGGTTGGGGACTCCTCTTTTGTGTGTTGGGGGGGGGTACTGAAACAGGTTTCTCTGTATAACAGCTCTCTCTGGCCATCCCAGAACTTGTTTTATGACTAGGCTGGCCTCGAACTCACAGAGATCCTCCTGCCTCTGTCTCCTAAATGCTGGGATTAAAGGTTGTGCACCACTACCGCCTGCCCAGCTGGTGACTCCTCTTTCTGCAAAGAACTGTCATCCTTCCTCAAGGATACTGCCTGTTGACTAGCCAGGAAAGTGCAGTGACCGTGTAACCAGCATTTGACCTGGCTTTTTAAATAAATTCTGTCTGCTGCATCCTCCAGGTCGGCAGCACTCCTGTACAAGCTTTCTTTGTTGTCCATTGGACATTGCATCTGCCCTGGAGCCAGGTTTCTGGTCTGTGCGAACTGAAGAGAGAATCATGTAAGATTCTCTCAGTGGGTTGATAGAATTGACTTACTGTCCTGTTATGTAGGAGGCAGAAGCCTGGTATTCCTGTCGTCTGCCCACCCCACCGCCCATCCCACAGAACTGACTCCATAGTTCCTCTGACCTCCACACATGTCCCGTAGTATGCAGGTATGTGCAGGCATACACACACACACACACACACACACACACACACACACACACAAGAAATGAAAGACAATTTTAAAAAAAGAAATAAGAATATGAGGGGTTGGGGCTAAAAGCAAAAGTTTAGATCAAACATCAAATCCATAGCTCCAAGCCCAAATTCCTAGTTGATATACTCTATACAGGTCAATATCCCAAAGGTATTTGTGGTGCTACTTTGTTTGTGATCTAACAAATCAAGCTGGCCTGACGATCAGAGTGCAGAGCTAAGCCACTAGTTAGCTATAGAGGCCAGGCAGTGGTGACTCACCTTTAATCCCAGTACTTGAGATTCACATGCCTTTAATCTCAGCACTAGGAAGGTGGAGATAGGAAGAGATGTGGCTGGGTGGAGAGAGGAGCTCAAGGCATTCAGTCTGAGGACTGTAGAGACAGGATACCACATTTGGTCTGAGGATTTCGTAGAGGTAAGAACTCTAAGGGCTGGGTGCATCTGACTCCGGGTTTTTATTATTGAGACTAATTAGAATTTGCGCTACAGATATAACTTCACTAACGTGGCTTAAATTGTACTCCCCCAATTTATAAATTAAATTCCTAACTCCTAATTCCTAATTCTATTTCAGAATTAGAAGTAGTCATTTCAGACATAATTAGTTATACAACTTGTCTTAGGGTTTCTATTGCTGTGAAGAGAGAGACACCATGACCACAGCAATTCTCATAAAGGAAAATATTTAATGAGGAGGCTTATATTTTCAGAGGTTTAGTCCATTATCACCATGGTTGGGCATGGTGGTGTGCAGGCAGACATGGTGCTGGAGAAGGAGCTGAGAGTCCTACATCCTGACCATCAGGAAGCAGGAAGTGAACTTTCTCACTGGGTGCGGCTTAAGCATATATGAGACATCAAAGCCGGCCTCCAAAGTTACTCACTTCCTCCAATAAGACCACACCTGATAATGCCATTCCCTTTGGAGGCCATTTTCTTTCAAACCACCACACACCCCTCCCCAATAACTTAAATTATTTAAGTTTTAAATAATTTAAAACTTAAGATTGCTTAAAGCAGGTTTAAAATATCCTTCAGATCACAGAGATAGAGAGAGGGGACAGAGAGGGGGACAGAGAGGAGGGAAGGACTCATAGGCGTCATGTGCAGTTTTGAGTCAATGCTTCTGACCGTGAAGTTAAATCTGATGTCAAAAATACATACATATATGTGTGTGTATGTGTGTGTGTGTGTGTGTGTGTGTGTGTGTGTGTGTATTCTTTAGGATAAATATAGGAACATAATGGAATAACAACAGCAGATGAAATAAAAGTCAGACCAAATCAGATTGGCCAGTTAGAAGCAAATTCAAATGGATGAATCTGCACTGAAACAGATGCAGAAACCAGGTTAGAACTCAATGGGACAAAGCCAATTCAAATTAGACGAGAGCAGTTCCAGACAGACCCGACCAGACACAGGGAACAAATCAAAACTATTTGGTTCAGACTTGTACTAAAAGAAAGCAGATCTTGGGCTGGAGAGATGGCTTAGTGGTTAAGAGCACTGGCTGCTCTTCCAGAGGTCCTGAGTTCAATTCCCAGCAACCACATGGTGGCTCACAATCATCTGTAATGAGATCTGGTGCCCTCTTCTGGTGTGCAGGCAGATATACATGCAGACAGAATGCTGTACACATAATAAATCTTTTTTTTTTAAAGGTTCTTTTTTTTTCAGATTTATTTATTATGTATACAACATTCTGCCTCAATATATACTTGCACGCCAGAGGAGGGCGCCAGATCTCAGTACAGATGGTTATGAGCCACCATGTGGTTGCTGGGAATTGAACTCAGGACCTCTGGAAGAGCAGCCAGTGCTCTTAACCTCTGAGCCATCTCTCCAGCCCATAATAAATCTTTAAAAAAAAAAAAAAAGAAGGCAGATCTTGAAAGAGCTTCTGACAGAGACTCCGAGGGTAAGACCCTCAGCTATCACAAGACAGCCCACAACTGTCCAGTTCAGAAGATCTGGCACCCTCACACAGACATACATTTGGCTCTCTGTAACTTGGGATTCCCTCACGGGCATTGTTTTGTTGGTAAAGCCTCGTAGGTGATGGGTGTGACTTCCTCTTTCTAAGCCTGCTGGGATGTTGTTCTCTCGGACTTTTCGTAACAGAACATCTGTATGAAGTTCAGCTTAGGAACTGGTGATGCCTGGTGTTGACCACAGAAGTTTCCTGAAACACAGGACCAAGGGTGGGGCTGGACACTTAGCCCCAGGGTGACCAGCTGGAGTCAAAACCTTGGTGCTTTTTATGAGCCTGCTGGAGACAGGTTACCAAGCTTTAGACCCAGGGAAATCTGCTCTCTGGAGGCTGTGGTTAGAGCCATAGACTTGAAGTAACCTGAGACTACTCTGGTCTTCCAGTGACTCCATCCTCTAGTACTCTTAGAGAGCTGGATCCAAAGCCACAGTTCCTCGGAGAACCCTTGGCATACTGGTGCAGAAGCTCGGGCCCTGCACTGACCCCTGAGGCCACTGCCCTGCAGTCCTGATGGCAGGGTGCTGTCTGGTTATGCAGGAGTCAGTAGGCTGGTATTCCTGTCTTGTGACCCCCACCCCGGTCCCACAGAACTGACTCCCAAAGTTGTCCTCTGACCTCCATACATGAGCTGTAGTATGTAAGCGTGTGCGCACACACACACACACAAAATCAAAAAAAGAGAGGCTCAGAGCTTAGAAGCACTGGATGCTCTATTAGCGGGCCTGGATTTGATCCCAGCACCCACATGACTTACAGCCATCTATAACTCCAGTCCCAGGGATCTGATCACTTATTCTGACCACAGGCACACATGCAGTGTGTGCAAAATACCCACATACATAAATTTTATTTTAAAAAGTTTAAAATACATTGATTGAGTTGTTTATGGTGGCACCTTTAATCTCAGCACTGGGGAAGCAGAGGCAGGGCAAGTTCTGGAACAGCTAGGACTGTTGCACAGAGAAACCCCATCTCGAAAAACAACAACAACAACAAAAAAAAGGAATGTGCCACTACTGCCTGGATTTTATTACATAGATATGATATATATAATATATAAAAATTAAAATATATATATCAGAATGGACCTCTTGCCCTGCTGCCTTAAATATACCTTCTAATGGAACAGCTACCGTCCTCTCTCTCAAACTACTCTTCCCCCGCCACACACACAGAGTACAAAGTGATGGCTCACACACGTGTGCTCAGAGAGCCTCCAGAGTTAAAGCTAAAAGAAGACAAAAGCCATTGAGAAGTTTCCTTCACCAAATTTATTATTTTTGAAATCCAGAAACAAACCAAGGCAGGCCTACTTCTCTACCTCAGGTGTAATTTTCTGAAAAAAATCCCGGATTTTCTGGCCAAGTTTCTGAATCTTTTCACCAATCTTCAGCCCACCTCTTCGGAGAAGTCCAGCAATCCTGCCAACGTTCTTGAACTGCTGGGGCTGTGTCCCAGGCTGTGGACCACAAAGAGATAGGTTCCTTGTGAGGCTGCTCACAGGTCCTCCCAACTAGACCACACTCAGGGCTACTCCCAGAGCCTCTGGGCCCTAGTGCAGCTTTTGGGACATGTAATTCGACCCTTCACCCCAATAAAAGATAAGAACACGGGGGCCTGGGAATGGCAAGAGGCTCCCTGGGGTCTGAGGATGCTGTCAGTATTAGCAGGACTCAGAATATCCAGTAGAGCAAAGCTAAAACTCAGGTGGGATCCTCAGCTGAGTCCTGTTAAAACTCAGCGAGACCCGAGAATCCACATCCCTAACAAGTTCTGGCTAACAAAAACAAACTTACTTACTTACTTGTTTGTTTATTGGGACCAGGCTTCACATGTACCATGTCTGGCCTGGAACTCTCTGTGGAAAAGGCTGACCTAGAACCTATAGCTGCCTCTGCCTCCCAGGTAAGTACGAGCCAACACTGGAGTTACGTCACTGCTCTAAGGGATGACAGAACAGTCTTGGAGCTGAAATTCAGGCACAAGGGAGGATCAAGGGGACGAGGTGGAGCACTCTCTGTTCTGGGTAGAATAGGGAGTAACTGGTCCACAGGCTAATCCATGTCCCCATCCCATCCCCACATCACCTCCTGTATCCCACTCACCCCTTTACAGCTGATGTCTGTAAAAGAATCTGTGCCCTGGTTGACTGTCGCCACACACTGCTTCACCAGCTGAGAAGAGGAAGCACAAGGTCAAACCCGTTTGCCATGTCGCCTAAACCCTAGCCCCCTGGATGGAAATATTCCCTCAGGTGCCACCACCAACCAGGCGGGCCCTCTGCCTTACCCCGTGTTCCCTGAAGTTGCACTGCTCAGGTGTCTGATACGTTGCTTTGTCACACACTGTCTCCTTCACTCTGAACCTCATATAATTGAGGGCATCTGGGTCTTCATCCTGGTCATGGGAAAAGTAGGGAGACTAGTCTTGGGCCCCTTCTCAGCTTCGAGAATCAATCTCCCTGACAACCACTAACAGAGTGGCCTTCCAACATTGCATGCTAGGTGCTGAAACAAGGCCTAGCGCTGGGGTACAGCAGGGAAGAGAAAATGAGCCCCCTTCTTCCTTCCCACACCTACAGTGAGTAGGCACGGCCCTCAGCCAGCGGTGAGGAAGAGCACCTCCTCCCCTTCTGGGCAGGGAGAGGGAAACCAGGGCCTTCCTAGAGGATCAGGCACATACTTAGGGACCTCAAGGCTAGGCAGAATCCTTTATTGGGTATGAAAAAAAAAACTTAGAGCAAAGGAAGCCAATTAATTCCTGAGGCCAGTGATTCCACTGTCCCTGGAATGGAGGTCCCAGGAATCACTAGAATGCGCTTGAGGGCACTTCTGCCACAGCAGGTATTCCAGGGCTGAAAACTGTCAATCGGGAAGGCGACACAGATCTAGGGAGTGTCCTCGGAAAAGAAATGACCACACTAAAAGGGGAAAATGCCTTGGATTAGAACCTGCTCTTCCCCAGCCTCACCCCTGAGGGCTGAGAATCCATGTCCAGAAGGCGGTAGAGATTGGTGTCCAGGGACTGCTGGTTGAAGTCATCCACAGCACGGAGCACAGCCTCCCTGTAGCTGAGGGTCTGGGAGAACACTAAGGGCAACACCAGGCCCAGCAGCAGCAGCAGCGATAGTGACCATCGCAGGGAAGGGTTGTCCCTCTGGGCTTGCATCGTCCCCAAGACTGCCTCCTCCAGGCCTGAGAGCCTCCTTTATGCTCAGCCTGAACCTGAAGCAAAAGCCCAACCAGAAGCCTTCTACTGCTGGCTGCCTGCCAGGGCGTGGGCTGGGGCTTGCTTCAGACTTTTGTTGCCCCATGAGGCTCTGGGCAGTGAGTGAGGTAGGCCTGGCATACCAGGTGAAGAAATAATTTCCTCATCTTCCTGAGATGGTCTTGGCTTCTCCCCCGCCCCAGGGGGACTATCACATCCAGTATTGCTCAACAGGTTAAACATCCCAAGAAAGGAAAAGCCAGTGACTATCCTAAGTCTGTTTACTCTTCGGGAATGAGTCTAGACTTAGTGTCCACTGCTAAATCTCCGGCTCTAGGTACTGTCTGACTCTCGGTGAACATTTGGCCTTTGATGACAAGTGACAGTGGTCACTCCACCCAGTAACCCATCCTCCCAAGGAAGAAGTTTCTCCTGCCATTCAAGACCATAACACCCTCTTCTTTGACAGTTTGGAAACACAGGGCCAAGAGGCGATGAAGACCGGCGACCAAGCACCGCTAGTTGAAGCCACGCATTACAAGGACCATGGCTTCCTAGACACATCACTAGTCCAGCAACAGTAGTGACACCCTCTCCTGGATTTCATAAAAATGTCCCTATCCTGCAGATGTGGCCTTTAGCCCAGTCCCCAAAAGGCCGTCTATACTGACTGAGTCTGCATATCTACCTTCTCTCGCACTGACACTCCTGCATGCTGGCCAGCCTTTTCTGGAGCCAGTGTTTTAGTGCATGAAGGCTTAGGTAACCCCTCTGTCTCCTGGAATCGTCCTTCCCCTATCATCCTTGCTTGGCCTCTTGCCTATGTCTCCTCCAAGGGCTGTTCTCTTAACATTGAGGGCTGGAGGGTTGCATCTAGGGCCAATTCTGCCCCAGGATTCAGGCCCCTGGTCTGTATCTCTGAGTTCATGATCCTATAAATGTCAGGTATGGTGGCTCACGCCTATTATTTTAACACCTCGGAGGCTGAGGCAGGAAGACTACTATGAGCTCAAAGCCAACCTGGGTTAGTAAGTGAGACTCTATCTCAAAACACCCCAAAAGAAATGTTAACTGGGGAGTAGTCATAGTCTTGCTCACAGCATACAAAGCCCCAGGTTCAAGCCCCAGCACCACAGCCCCACATAACCTGTTTAGACTGGTGCAGGCTGGTTATCACAGCACTTAGGAAATGGAGGCTGGAAGGGTCAGAAATTCAAGTTCATCCTTAGCTATAAGTCTGAGGTCAACTTGGGCTGCATGAAGGCCTGCCTCAAAAACAAATGAACAAATATTATTAGCATATAAAAGAAGTATGTGTCTATGTGAACATATGCCCCATCAGTGTGGGAGCCTGAAGAAGCCAGAGGTGATGGGTCCCCTGGAGCTGGCATCACGGGCGACTGTCCGCCCCTCTCCGTTGTTACTGGGAATACCGTTCAGAAGAGCATCACATGCTCTTCACCACTGAGCCACCCCTCCAATCCCACATCACCATATTTTCATGGGTCCTCTCACCTGACTGCTGAGTACCCATTGCTCGAATCCTGATCGCAAAGTTGGAAGAACAACCTAATTATTCCTTCTTCCTCCTGGGACGTGCCCTTCACCCCTTCCGCATCATCGCCCTGATTTTCACTCCTTTTTCCTCCTAGAAGTTGTTACCAAAATCTCTAGGTTTCATCTCCCCTAGGTTCCACACTCCCTGCAATCACTGGGAGGCCCCCCCAACCCCTGTCTTCAGCAGCCCACACATCCTCATCTCCCATCAGAGCCTGCATCTGTCTTTTTACCCACAGCTCTCATCCTAGCCCCCTGCACATCCAGATGTCAGAACGCCACCCACACCCACGCTCAGACTCACTGAGCTTCTGTCCGTACACAGTGCTTTGGGTTTCTGTTGTGGCTGTTTCTGTTTGTATGCGAAGGACCCAAACTGACTGAACTACAGATGCTAAATTATGTGAAGAATGCACTACTTCAATTAAGGCTTTTAGTTGGAGTTGTAACATTAGGTTGGTCTTTTTATTTTATAATTTTGAGACAGGTTGGCCTAAAACTCTTTATGTAGCAGCCAAAGATAACCCTGAACTCCTCCTGCCTCCAACCTCCAAAAGGCTGGTGTTACAGGCATTTGCCATTATACTAGCTTTTTGTTTGTCTTGTTTAAATTAGTGTGTGTATGCGTGTGTGCCTCTGTGTGTGTGTGTGTGTGTGTGTGTGTGTGTGTGTGTGCACATGCATGTATGTGTCCACCTTCCAAGTGCTGGGATTACGGATAGGCACAACCACATCCTTTTTATCTTGGTTGATTACACTTCCTGTTGGAAAGAGACACAATCCCCAATGTCAAATGCATACAAAGCAACAAGCCATTGTGAAATAAAAGAGCAAAGGGCCAGGGAAATGGTTCAGTGGGTCCACAGAGCATACAAGCAAACACTCCCACCTGAGTGCATTTGCACACACATATAAACACACATTCATGCACAAAATAATTTTTGTTGTTTTTTGTTGTTGTTTGAGACAGGGTTTTTCTGACTGTCATAGAACTCACTCTGTAGCCGGGCTGTGGTGGCTCTTGCCTTTAATCCCAGCACTCGGGAGGCACAGGCACGCGGATCTCTGTGAGTTCAAGGCCAACCTGGTCTACAGGAGCTAGTTTCCAGACAGGCTCCGAAGCTATAGAAAAACCCTGTTTAAAAAAAAAAAAAAAAAAAACCAAACTCACTCTATAGACCTGCTGGCCTTGAACTCCCGCAGATCCACCAGTCTCTGTCTCCTGAGCGCTGGGATTAAAGGCGGGTGTCCAGTGAAAAAAATGTATCTTAAAAATTTCAATACTCCCTCGTCGTCTAGTGGAAAAAAAAAATTTCAATATTTAGCCGGGCGATGGTGGCTCCAAAGCCACAGAGAAACCCTGTCTCGAAAAACAAAAAAAACAAAAAAAATTTCAATATTTAGCAGGACGTAGTGGCACACATCTTTAATCCTAAAACTAAGGAAGCAGAAGTAGGTGAATCTGTGAGTTCAAGGCCAGCGTGGTCTACAAATCAAGTTCAAACACAGAAAGACCTTGCCTTGGAAAAAAAGAGGACTCAGAGATCTGCCTGCCTCTGTCTAAGAAATGCGGGGATGAAAGGTGTGTGCCACCACACCTGACTAAGTGACCTGACTTTTTCTTGGTTTTTCTAGACCTGGTTCTTCTGTGTTACTGTGGCTGTCCTGGAACTAGCTCTGTAAACCAGGCTGGCCTCGAACTCATAGAGATCCACCTGTCTCTGCCTCCCAAGTGCTGGGATTAATGGTGTGTGCCACCACTGCCCAATTATGAATTGTCCTGGATAGTCATGTTATGAACCTGACACCTCTGGAAAGTGGGAAGCTCAACTGAATGACTAGCTGTGGGCTTGTCTCTGTCTTCTTGATTGCCAGGCCACCAAGGGCGGTGCTGTCTCTGGGTGGGTGAGGCTGGGCTATATAAGGAAAGTGGATGAACATGAGCCTGGGAGCAAGCCAATAAGCATCATTCTCTGTGGTCTCCACTCCATGTTCCTGTTGGACTCTAGCGTCTAAACACTGAGGAGGAGTCGCCCCCAGAGACCACCTCATACACCACAGCTGAGGCAAAAGCATGAGGATTTTAATTAATTCTGTCATGACAGGGTCCCTCAGCATTTGGGAAGCCAAGAGACCTTGAATAGCTGGTACAGGCTACTATTAATGGAGAAGGCCACAGAAGCAGGGGGGGGGTTGTTCTTTGACTATTATGATTGGCTTATTCAAAAGAGCTGTTACCAATAATTGGCTGGAGAGCTGTTGCCAGATCAGATGAGGTAAGAGGTCATTTTGACCCCGTTTCCCAGAGGACTGAATCAAAACATACGTATATGGGTAATTGTTCAGGAACTGAGTACATGCATGTGTAGCTGTTAGATCCTTGGTTCCCAGGGGAGGAGGAGAAGCACTATGGCATAAAGGCTGAGAGGATTCAGAATTGTCAGAAATGGTTTCAGAATTGTCTTAAAGTCTTACATTCCTGCTGTGAGTCTATGCCCGGCTTCTGCCCATGACAAACTGTTATTAGAGGTAAGGTGACAACAGACCCTCCCTCCCCAGTCGCTCTTGGTCCTGGCGTTCATCACAGCAACAGAAAAGCAGAATAGAACATCATTCATTCGGCGGGGTTTTTTTTTTTGAAAAGTTTAAAAAACTGATTTTTTAAAATGTTTCTTATAATGAAGCTTGTAAGTAAAAAAAGATGTAATAATAATAATAAACATACTTCTTTACTCTAAAAAAATGTTAGCCAGATGATGGTGGTACACACCTTTAATTCCAGCAGTCAAGAGGCAGAGGCAGGCAGATCTCATGAGTTTGAGGCCAGGCTGGTCTACAGAGTGATTTCCAGGACAGTCAGGACTGTTACACAGAGAAACCCTGTCTTGAAAAGCCAAAATAAATAAATAAATAAAAATAAAGTAAATAAAAAGTTAAGTAATAAATAAATAGATACATAGATAGATGATTGATAGATATGCCAATCAAAACATATTTTGCGCCTTAAATTATACTGAGTATAAATTTAAAAGATATTATAGTCTGGCAGGATAACTCAGCAGGTAAAGGTACTTGCTTTTAAGCCTGATTATCTGAGTTCAGTCCCCGGAACCCACATGGCGGAAGAAAAGCACTAACTCCTGCAAGCAATTTGTCTTTTACTTCCACACATACTATGGCATGCATGTATGGGCACACACACAATAAATAAATAAATAAATAAATAAATAAATAAAATTATTTTTAAAAGATATTTATTTTATAGCATGAGTGTGACTGTCCATACATGTGTGCACGCACACACACAGGCACACACATTTGCACATGCATACCCGATGCAGAAGAAGGAATCAAGCCCCCTGGAATTAGGGTACAGACAATTGTGATCTGCTAGGCACCACCAC